TCTATCTATCTATCTATCTATCTATCTATCTATCTATCTATCTATCTATCGCTCTCTCATCTCTCTCTCCTATCTCTCTCTGTGTCTCTCTCTCTCTCTGTCTCCCTCCCCCCTCTCATATTATTAACCTTTCTTAATAAAACACTGTATGTACACCTTCTTATTAAATAAAGTGAGAAGTCACATACAGAATTTGGAATAATTCTGTATGTGACATTGAATAATTCTGTATGTGACATTGAATAAATAAAGTGGCTTGACAGTATTACAATGCAACTACTTGCAATAATCCTGAAGGAGCAAAGTTTGATACTATCTATAGTATTCATAATGCTCAACCATGGCATTCTTCTAGGCCAGAGGTCTCCAAACCACCACTCATGGGCTACATCCCGCCCTCCAGAAGGCTTCAACCAGCCCACCAGCTCTTCCTAACCGGACAAGGAAAAGGAAGTTGACTGGAGGGTTGCTTCCTTTACCTGGCGAGTAGGTGGGAGAAGTGACTGGTTGGGCACTGGCAGGGGTGGGATTCTACTGGTTCGCACCTATTCACTAGAACCGGTTGTTAACATTCTAAGCAGTTCGGAGAACAGGCTGTTATAAGAAATTAATGGCCTAATCATGTAAGGAAGGCAGGAAGGAAACATTCTGGTGTTGCTTACAGAAACCGCCTCTCCATTAAGCCTTATTACATTCTTGGCAGGACTAGACTTCCTGCCTCAGGAACTTCTCTGGAGATTTTTTTTCCTCCTTTGCTGGTACTTTGCTTGTGTGGAGTGACCATTCAAAGTTACAATGGCACTGAAAAAGTGATTTATGACCATTTTTCACACTTACGACTGTTGCAGTATCCCCACAGTCACGAGAGGCCAGGCGAGGAGATGCATGCCACGATGTGAGTGATGTTGAGTTGGCCACACCCAGCCAGTCACATGACACCAAGCCATGCCCACCAACTAAGCCACGCCCACAGAACTGGTTGTTAAAAAAAAATGAATCCCAGCCCTGGGCACTGGTCTGATCCAGATGAGCTTCTGTTTGTTTTTATGTTTTATGCCCCGTTTGCTAATGTTTGACATTTTTCTTATATCATTTGTCCATACCAGCACAGCATTCTGTTCTGACCCAGCTCCCCAAACACAGCAAACCCTCTATAGTGAAATCAATGATTCCTTTATTAGGAGTGCCAGCAGCCCCAGCAAAAAGTTTCTCTCTCACTGCAGGCTAACAAGTCTGTCTGGCAGGGAGATGAATAGTTGTCTGTCATATCTATTCATCTCCGCCTCCTGCCTTTTATCCCCAGAGGTAGGGTAGGGCTTTGCTTGCTGCGGTGGCTCTTCCGTCCCAAGGATCAGCCCATAGATTTCCACTGCTCTCCTCTCTTCTGCCTTCTGCACATCCGTGCATCAGGCACTGGACCCAGCTGTTCCTCCTCTTCCTCATCAGCCACCTCCAGACCTGGAGGCTGTTGACTCTCCATCTGAGGGCTGAGGGATGCCCAGGTTCTCTCTCTCTCTGGCAGCTCTATTCCCTCTTCCCCTCAGAGCTCTCAGGTTGCCTTTATGCTGGGCCCAACTTCCACACCTCCTCCTCCTCATCTGATTTGGCTGCTGGAAGTGCCAGCAGCCAACAGGCCACAACACATTGTTTCTTTGTAATCATCACATTTCTTTTTTGTTGTTGTTGTGAATCATTGAGTAAAATAAAAGGCATTTGTTCAATTATTATTTTTTTCGCTCATTTATAAAACTGATTTTAGAATGTTTGCAAAATGTCCATTATGGCCCTCAGACTGAAAAGTTTAGAGACCCTGTTGTAGGCCAACTATGGGTTCTGGGAGTTTCGGGCACTATTTTATTATATTTTCACTTCTGGGAGTTTCGGGCACTATTTTATTATATTTTCATTTCTGGGAGTTTTGGGCACTATTTTATTATGTTAATGGGTGGTTCCAATCAATCCTCAGGAAGGGAGGTAAAAATTCAGGTCCTTAGGAACTCTGCTCTGGCTTTGGACCTTTCCTAGATGTAATTAAACATCTGTGTGCAACTGGTGGGAAAGGCTGTCTGTTGGTTTGGCATGAAAAGCTACCTTATGTGTTTCTCCAGAACACATAGGGATATTTATTTATTTTTATTTATTTATTTGATTTGCCAATTGTTTACAAGATAATAAGTATAAATGTATACATAGTTGTGAATACATGAAATGGGTACATATAAGAAAAATAAAAGAATAAGAGAAACAATAGGACAGGGACGGTAGGCACGTTGGTGCGCTTATGCACGCCCCCTACAGACCTCTTAGGAAAGGGGTGAGGTCAATAGTAGACAGTCTAAGGTTAAAGTTTTTGGGGTTTGGGGAAGAAACTACAGAGTCGGGTAGAGTATTCCAGACATTGATATGGCACAGAGGAATTGCTCCAAGGTGAGAAATCACCAAAAATAAGTCATCTTCGATGTGAACAACAATATGTGCAGCTAAGAACTGTGAAACCTATTAAATCTTATTCCTGAACAAGATATAAAACTATTAGAAGTATATGAATCATCTGAGATTTGATTTGTACAATCGATTTTTATGATTTGTTTGAATTTGATTCAAATATTGAATAGCTTCCACAAATTGAGTTACTATGTTGAAGAGAATCAGAGGCAGACTGAACTGATTCAGTTCAAATGCTTGATTCAGTTCAAAAGTACCTGAGTTGGAAAGCAGTGATTTAATTTAGTGTATAAATTAATTTGGAGATCCCATGAAAAATTCAGTTTGAAGGGTAATTCAAGTGAATCATCTCTTAATTTTATATATGTTTTCTTATGTTTTCGTGGGTATTTATATCAGCTTTATTCAGGTATTTTCCCACGTCTTTATATTTGTGTTTTTAAAGTTGTAGCAACGTTTTGGCAGAATCTCATCTGCCATCATCAGGCTTCTGTATAGTGTTCGTCTGTATTGTGTTCGTCAATACAGAAGCCTGATGATGGCAGCTGTTCATCTTCTGGGTCTCCATTGTGTCTCAGTGTATTTGTGGATCAGGCCTGTGATTTTACTTTTGAGGAAGCTGTTGGCTGTCAGTACTTTCGTCAGGGTGCATAGTTCAGTCTTTATGTGTGCCTTGTCTGCCAGGTGTTTGGTTCTAGCAATTAGTGTTTTGGCCACGGAGTTTATCTGTGCTAGGTGGTGGTGGGATTGGGCATTGAGGTACCAGTTGGTGTGTCTTTTCTTCTGGTATATGGTGTGTCCTAGTTTGCCATCTGTTTTTTTGTAGATTAGTAAATCTAGGAATGGTAGTTGTTTCCATGGTGAATTTGATTTTGGGGTGTGTGCTGTTTAGGTGTGTTAGGAAATTGTTTAGGTTTTCTTTTCCATGGGGCCAAATAACAAATGTGTCATTGATGTATCTTAGTCATAGTTTGGGTTTGTGGGTGGCATTTGCCAGGGCCCTGGATTCAAATTCTTCCATGAACAGGTTTGCAATAATGGGCAACAGTGGTGATCCCATGGGGGCTCCTTCAATCTGCTTGTATCTTTGTTCTTTGTATATGAAATATGTGTTGGTTAAGCAGTGTTCTGCTAGTTCCATCAGGTGTTTAGGTGGTTGGTATTTGTTTTTGATGATTTCTAGGGTTTCTTTCACCAGGACTTGAGTGAATAGTGAAACCACGTCAAAATTTACAAGCAGATCTTTTTGTTCAACGTGTAGGTCTTTGATAATTTCCAAGAGATGGTATGAGTTTTGTACATGTGAAGCTGCTGCTTCAGCATGGGGCTGTAGCTGCTTTGCTAGGTATTTGGCTAGGTCTTGTAGTGGTACTCTTTTGGAGTTGACTGTGGGTCTGAGAGGTATGCCTTCCTTGTGTATTTTTGGGAGGCCGTATAGTTTGGGGCATCTGGAAGATTTTTCTCTTGGGATGATCGTCTGTTAGATCTCTTTGCTCATGTTGCTGGTTATGATTTTCTTCTTGGTTATTTTTTCCAGATATGTGGTTGGGTCCATGTTTATGGGTTTGTATGTGGAGTCTTGGAGTAGGTCTGTCAGTTTTGTTTTGTAGTCTTTTCTGTCCATTACTACTGTAGCATTCCCTTTATCTGCTGGAAGTATGATTATGCTGCTGTCGTTCTTTAGGGCTTGCAGGGCTCTTTGTTCCTCCTTGTGTAAGTTGCCTTTGGGTGGTTTGACTTGGTGTCTTATTCTATCAGCTTCATCTGAATATAGTTTAGTTAGGCTGGATTCCACTCCGCATATGATGGATTCTGTGGGGATTTTTTTGTGTGCTATGGCATAGTTGAATCCTTTGGTTAGGACATCTGTTTCTGTTTTCGTCAGTTCTCTTTTGGAAACATTGTATACTAATTGTTTTAGGTGTTGTTGTGGGTTGCTGGGGGCTTTCTTATCATGTTCTGACACATACAATGAAGATGAACCCAATATATGAGCCTGATGATGGCAGATGAGATTATTCCAAAACGTTGCTACAACTTTAAAAGCGCAACTATAAAGACATGGGAAAATACCCGAATAAAGCTGAATAGCATACATACATACATACATACATACATACATACATACATACATGAATCAATTCTTCACACAACTCCTCAAAATGTCAGCTGTCATTGATAATTCACTGTAATCTGGTTAAAATTAAACTTGCAATGTTGAGGTGTGAAGCCTTTGAGTGGCTACTACATGGAACAGATCCAGAGGGGCACTTTGCTCATGAGGAAAGCACTTCATAAAATGATTT